CATGGACTTAGTTTTATTAGTGGATGAGAATTTTTGTGTGTCATTTTATGCACTTTAATGAATGATATTTCAAGAAAGAAAAGGCCTATGTTTTAAAAGAAGGCATTTTTTTGAATAACTCGAAAAGGAAAAAGATACCATGTGATAGGGATTATTGATAGAAAGAAATAGAAATGGTGTAAAACAACAAAAAATGTGGTAGTCCCTTGAGGTTCTCAATATGGGCAGCATACAATTAAAGTAAAAACTTTTGGGGTCCAAGTTACTCTTTCATATAAACAAGTATGGAATGAAGAGACGTAAAAAGACACGTTGATGCACCTACTATTTAGACTTGTTTCAATGTTTAAAAATAGTATTACTTGCACTCTAATATTACCCCCAAAAAAAAAAAAAGTTTATTCGTACACTAATTTACAAGAATTGACAACCTTTAATTTTCCTCCATCATTCCTATTCGTAATCCTTTATCCTCGTCTATAATTGCTCATAATTGATCCACATTATTTCCCTCAGAGAAAGTGATAATTGAACGGTAACATGAATTGAAAATGACGTGCCAAAGATAGGGTCAGGAGGGGGATAAAGATAGAGTTTCGAATGTAAATGAGTTGAGTAGATGGGTGAGAAAGTCGAACCAACATCTTTCTTCTCATTTCAAGTTCCTTAGACTCAATTTGCACAAACACGAATGGAAGGAAAAATCGCTGTCTAAATTCATTTTCTCACAAAAATTTTCATTTTACCTCCTTATTCTGAAATTCCAATCCCAAATATGCACAAATGAAAAGTATATTGGAGTTTTAACATTTCGATTGCTAATAATTTTCTAATCCAAAAATTCGATTTTGAATATGCTAATTAAGCGAAGAGTCAAAAGAGAAGGACAACTCCAAAATAGCTTTTTAGTATGTTCTTGATGGTCTTACATTTGGACCCATAAACATGAAAACTAGAACTTAAGGAACAAGACATATCTTTAGGTTTCTTGAAACTTTTCTACCCTATTGCACTATGCCACAGTAAATAAAACATGACAATCAAAAGCTTCGAAGATTAATTCTAATTATTGTATTAAAAAATTCCAATCATCGTTTTTTTCTCATCTGTTAACAACATTTCAGGCATTCCAATTCTCTTTTAAAATTAGTTTATCTAAATTCTTTATTATACTATCAATTTCTAAATTTGGTTTACTTTCTATATTATTTAACTTTTTATTTATATTTTCAATGGCTTCTGTAGTCTTAAGATCTGGAAATTTTTCTTTAGTTTCAACTTTAGAAATTTTATTTATAATTGTTAAATTTTGTTCTTTAATAAAATCTAAATTTTCACAAATTTTACGAATGTCTTTTTCAATATTATAAATTCTTTTTTCTAAAGTATTAAATTCTCCAGTTATTTTATTAATTTCTTTTATTAAAAGATCCAGTTTTCTAATCTGAATAATAAAAAGAGTCTAATGAAAAACTTGTATTATCTGATAAATAATTATAATCTAGATTATCTAATTCAATTCTTAATTTAAGATCTGAAATAAAGATCTGATCAAAATTATTTATAAAATATTCTTCTCTAAATTCTGAGATTAAAGTTCTATATAATATTTGTTCTCTTAATTCTGGAAGTAAGTTTTTTGTTACTTGTAAAACAGCAAATAAATAATCTATAGATTTATATCTTTCTAAAGAAATAAATTCTAAACCGTATTCTAAAATATCTTCTATTTCTTTATAAAATATAAAACTATAAATTATTTTTTGTGTATTCCAAGATATTATTTTAGAATTATATCTAAAATTTTCAAAATCTATAGATAAAATTCTAAAAATCATAAAGCAAGTAACAAAATTTTTAAAGTTAGAATTATACCTTTCAAGTAGTAAACTGTTGTCTATCTGCAAGTATTCTGAAATAACCAGTACCGTAATAAGCTCTGATACCAAAAAGAGGGGGGGGTCCTGAAATAGGGTTAGTATTTCAGAGATTATAAGGATGTTAAAGGGGACTGTTGGGATAAGAGAAAATGAAAAAGAAGAATGTGAGTGTAGTAAAGAAAGAGAATGTCAATTAATAGAAAAGGAAGAAATAGAAAATTTAAATTTTTTGGAAGAATTTTATGAAGATTATGAAGACATATGTTTAGACTTTATAGAAATTGAAAAAATTTATGATTTATTAGTAACAGAACAAGATATTGAAAATATGATTAGTAAACTTGAAAAATTAGAAATATTAGGAGAAAATATTCTTAAATATTGGGATAAAGATAAAGATCACATTAAACGTATTGAAAAATTCACCGAAAATGTATCCTCTGACTGAAATATGTAATCTACCCCTAGGGCTAAGAACCTTCGTCACAGGTTTTTGGCCTCCTCCATGAACAAAAGCGAGTCTCAAAACTTCTGGCAATCAATTCTAAAACACAGCCAAGACCCATTAGTGAACTATATGTACACGGTCAAAACTCCTTCATCTTCCGGTTCAAGACCCCTCAGTGTAGTATAAAACACGGTCAATGCCCCTCAGTGAACTAGAAAAGATATTTAATTATGAGTACTTTTTTGATCGATCTCAATATTACATATCTCACATACCAAACAATTCTCAATATTACACGTCTCACAAAGAGAATAAGAAACTTGTATTGTATATATGTTCTTCCGTGTTTTTACAAATGAAAGAATGATCTCCTTTTATAGGAGAGAAAAGATAAGGTAGACGTTATCTAAAAGCAAAGAATCTTTGCTTTTTCCAAACGTCAAAAAGAGAATAGTAAAAGCTATCCTATCAAATCTTACTTTATATAATAGTAAGATTCTTTTACAAATTTTTCAAAAAGTAAATAGTAAAA